AAAACCCACAGCACAAGGTACTTCCTCTGTTTGGGGGAGGGCCGCGCTGTGGGAACGGGGTGACAGCCAGGAAGCGGGTGGTACCACCAGCGTGTTCCAGGTGAGGCAAGGTCTGCAGAGCAGCCCCGGGCCACCTGCCGGCCCTCAGCGATGTGGTCCGGCTAGGCAAGCCTGGGCTTCCCACCTCCCCCAGGGGCCTGATGCCCTCTGAACAGCCCCAAGAAGGATAAACTCATCCGCCAAGCTGGGCACAGCCACGCCCTGGTGCTGGCCAGCAGGGTGAGCTGACTGATGCTGCCTGTGAGCTAGAGCCGCAGGCTTCCCATCCACTGCCCCCTCCGTGGGCAAGGGCGTGTCCTTGCAGCCCGGGCCCTTGTGGGATTTCCGGAGCCTGTAGGTCTGGAGTCAGGAGCCAACCCAGGCAGAAAGCTGCAGTGCCCGACTGGGGCACCACCCTGCCCAGCACCCACCCTGGAGCTGCCCCTGGGGAGGCCCGGAGACGGCAAGAGCTGCCCACATCTATCCAAGGGCACTGGGGCCACCTCCCCGCGTTAAGGGGCCCGTGGGGCGCGCGCCCTGGCCATTGGGCAGCCTGCCCTCTTCCTGGCCCTGTGGCTTCCTCTTTGCCCAGGCTGAGCTTCGGTCCCTCCCCAGGACCCTGGCCGGCGCAGGCCGCGAGCACGCCCTGGTTCCCGGACCTTTGAGCCGGCCGTGGACTCCGGGAGGCTCATTTTTAAAGACGAGGCTGTGCAGTTTGGAGAGGTCTGAGAGGGTGCTCAGGGTTTGGCTGTGGTTTTACCCTGAATAGGAGTGCTCACGCCTAGATCTGCCTGACTGCAAGTCTTCATTTGACTGAGCCACTTGGGTGTCAGAATCAGAGGGTAAAAGGCGTACCGAGGGGGAAAGATGACAGTGCCATTGCTTTCTACTCATCGTTCCAATATAAGATTGGAAGGAGGGAGTTACAATGGATTTTGACTAGATACAAAGCAGACACATTGAAGAAGAATATGAGACTGCAGACTTTGCCATAGAATATGAAGATGAAATTAGGAGACAACCTGAAACATGCTGCCAATAGACAGCACGGCCAATCAGCTTGCACGGTTTAGGTTTTCGCTATGTGTTTAGATAATTGCTGGTAATGGAAGCTCTCGAACTCGCCCCCAACAGGCTTCTCTTTCCTTTAGTTGGTCAGAGAGTGGCCACGTGCCAGACTCTATTATTGTGTATGAAACTTTAAAATCTTAAATATCAGGACACTTGATCGGTTGCACCGGCCCGACACCCACAGATCCCAAACGGGGCCGCCCCGCCCCCTTCCCGAGGCCAGAGCCCGCGAGGGGCAGTGGCGCAAAGCTTCCCGCTGGAGATGCCGGGCAACCTGCTCCGCGCTGGGAGGCTGCCCGTCCCGGAGGAGAGGAAGAGACTCCGGATGGATGCATGTCCCTCTGTCTTCTGCGCGGAGGCCTTTTCCATTCCTACTGCCCTCACTCTCTTGCTGTCCTGCCTGGCGCTGGCCAGCCCCCACAACCCCCACTGGCCCTCGCCCCCCACGCACCAGCCCTTCGCCAACCCCCTGGAACCCAGGCTCCAGGGAGCAGGAGAGGACAGCCAAGGAGAGCCCCCAGGCACCAGCTCAGAACCACCTGGCAAATGGCTCCCCAGAAGTCATACCTGGCAACCCTCCTCCCGGGCACCTCAGGGCCCACCAGAGCTGACTCCACCTCCCGTTGGTCTCCACTTTGCACTTTCTCTGACAGGCTGGTCTGTTTTCAGGGGGGAGCACACCTGTGGGCACAGCTGTAACTTGTCTGCCTCAGGTAGTCATTCCCTCCCAGTTCCCTTTGCAAGGAGTGCCCTCACCCCCTCTCACCAACCTATGCCCTGGGTCTCTGGCTCCCTGCACACACAGCCCAGCTGCCTCCAGCCTGCTACCTCCCCTGTCCTTAGCCTTCCACAGCCTCTGTCCCCAAGGTGGGTAAGCCACTCTCCCACTAACTAGTCCCATGCCTAGTGTGCGTGCTTGACCTGATGCACCTGTCCAATCCCCCCCACCTAGGCCGGAAGCCCTGAGGAGCAGAAAGCTAGAGGCAGTGCCAACACAGCCTTGGGGTCACACAGACCTCACCTCAAATGCCAGGTCTGCCTCTACTAGCTGTGTGACCTTGGGCAATTTCCTCAGCTCCTCCAGGCCTCAGTTCCCCATCTGTAAAACGGGACAGTGCATAGTTGTACAGATTGTCCTCCCATAGAAAGCGCCTACACAGTCTCAGAGGACAGGCTGTGTTTTTGTTTGATTCACTGTTCCATTCCCAGAGCCTAGCACAGCAGTCATCCTTCTCAGTAGGGCATTGAGTAAATATTTGAATGAATATTGTTTTGATGATTGAATGGATTCATCTGTTTTACACCTTTGGGTGCTCCTGACTTTGCCTTGGACAGTCTGTTTAGACCAGCTGTGGGCAAACTATGGCCCACGGGCCAGATTCGGTCCATTTGAAATTAATAAAACTAAAAAAAAAAAAAGACCGTACCCTTTTATGTAATGATGTTTACTTTGAATTTATATTAGTTCACACAAACACTCCATCCATGCTTTTGTTCCGGCCCTCCGGTCCAGTTTAAGAACCCATTATGGTCCTCAAGTCAAAAAGTTTGCTCACCCCTGGTCTAGACACATGGACAGGTTCACCTGCAGGATCTCTGCTCTGAGGGTTCTGCATTCACAAAACTCAAGATAAAGACAAAGTCCCAGGGCATAACCCCTGGAACAGAAGGGACTACTGCTCTGCTCTAAGCAACTCTATGCCTCTGGGCACCTCACCTCTCTAATGGGAGCAGCGGCCCCAGGGGCCCAAGGTCCTTTTTGGCTCTGACCCCTCAGGTCCCCCTCCCCCTTTAGGCCTCTGACCCTCTCTTACCCTCCCCCATCAGGCCAGATCAAGGCACCCGAGTGGTCATCATCCATCAGGGATCTCCTAGCAGGCAGCCCAGGGGCCTAGGGTTGGTTTGCTGCCAAGGTTTCAGGTCCCCATCAAAGAGAGGGAGTGGATTTGGTTTCTGCCCCAGGTAAAGGCAGGCTCAACCCGATACCTTACTTGAGGGCATCAGGAAAGGCAAAGGAGCTGGGACAGGGATCAGGAACAAGCTAGTGGGATCCCGGAGAAGGCTCACGTTATGGGACAGGGTGGACCTGCCCACTGAGAACAGGCCATGGTGAGGACCGGGCCGGCCAGAGTGGCTGCAGGAGGACACACAGGTCTTGTTCTTCCAGCTGCTGTTTAACCACCACCGGGCCCAGCCCCACCCAGGCTCAAGGAACCAGTCAGGGCCAGGCCACAGCCCTGTCATTCACAGGCCTCACCCACCTGCCTTGACTCAACGGGCCCCACCACCGCTTCCCACCCACTAGGGTGGGGGCACTTTAAGCAACAGGCCTGGACGACAGGATTGCAGAAAGAACGTAAGAGGCCCGGCCCGGGACCGCCCAGGACTAGTCCTTGAACTCCTATGTGACCTTCCTTCTTCATAGGCCTCTGGACAAGGAATGCCCGGTTGACTCGGTGTAGACAGATGGCAACAGTCATGAACCTGACTTCAGCATTTTATAACATGACCCAGACAACTGAATTTCTCTCCTCGGGAGTGAAACCTGCCTGCTGGGACGCTCACAGCAGATAGCGGGTACGTAGCACCTCATGCCCTGCTCAGTTCCCAGCACGGCCAGGAATGGTGCTTTCCTTCCCTGGCAGGGCAGCCGAGCCCAGACCATGCCACCCCTGTCACCCCACGGGAACCCCCACGCCCTAGGACTCTGAAACCTTGGCCTAGAAGTCGCTTTGGCTAGCTGTGGCCCACCCCTCCCAGCTTCCCACCATCGACTGCTCAAAACCCCAAGCCGAGCCTGAAGAGGAAAGTAAACAGACACGCAGGGCTTTGGTATGGAGTGGCGAGCACAGAAGGAAAACATTAGGAGCAGAGAACAGTTAGACGTGTCATCCCGTCCAGCAGCCCCACGCTGGCTCCAGAATCAAAACAGCCTGCACACAAGGCCACATTCAGCTGCCATCTCTGGTTTCTCCCCACAATCAGGCCTCACCCTGGTCCCCGTGGTGTTGGTGTTCTCTCTCCCTCTGCCCTGCTTGTCAGACAGCTGCCTAGTCCTGGGGGCTGCTCAGTGCTGCCTGAGACCTGAGGCCCTAGATCTTAGCGATAATCATGCTGCTTTCCAGCCTCCCCTACTCCCCCCCCACACACCCACTCACATCCCACCTGATTCGGCACAGCCCCTGAAGAACAAATTCCCACAATCCAGCCCTCTCTCACCATCACCACCCAAAAGGAGTGCAAGGCCAGATCCCCGTATCCATATTTATTTTACATTCTCTTCCAGAGGGGACCTGAGGGCTGGGGGGAGCTGGGGAGGCAGGAGGGCACGACCTCTGAGGCCCGACCTTCTGGGCACTACAGTAGCAGGTCACCCAGGCCCAGGGCTTGGCAGCTTTTGGGAAAAGGGGGCCTTCAGGTAAGACCTCTTGCCAGGCCCCAAGTGCTAAAGAGGGGCTGCGCCCGCCCCCACCCCACTCCCAGGCCCAGCTGGAAGCAGGAAGGCAAGGGGGGCAGCAGACCAGCTGGAGTGACAGGGGGGGAATCCCCTGCGGGCGGCCTTTGGTCTCTATGGTTAGGAAGCTGCTCCTTGTTAGAGGAACCCCATGGGGGTGAAGCTGGGAGCCAGTCCCTGTTAGAGGAAAAGGCACAGCAGGGTGGGGGGCGGGGGGGGACTCGGGGGCCTGGGGGTCTGGTCTCAATAAGGCCGGGAAACAGTCTCCACTTCAAAGCAGACCTCTGTATTTGGGGAACTGGGTAGGGGAGGAAATAAAAGGACTGTGAGAGGAATGCTTGTGAGCTGTGGGTGGGAGTCAGTCCGGGGGGCTTCGAGGGGGCTCCAAGGGAAAGGCTGTTGGGTTGTCTGCAGATGCCAGCAGCCAGGTCCTGGGGAGGAAGATGTGGGAAGGGGGTCCTCTCTCCCTCTGAGAAGAGCTACTGCTCTCCACTCCATCCTGGCCGGGCTCTGAGTTGCCATGGAGACCTCTCACACCGGAGCTACATAATTTCCAGGGAACGTCCCAAATTTCTGGGTCCTCCGGGAGACACCTGAAGGAGGAAAAGACAATGATCATTCCCACACTTGTTTTTAAAATAGGAAAGATGAGGGCCCTGCCCCCTGCTGGCAGTGGCCAGAACTGCGGGTGGAGTCCATGTCCCAGGGAGGGAGGAATTGTCTTCCCCATTCCTGCCTGCTAGTGGCAAAAGCTTAGGTAAGCAAAGCTACACTTGCTAAGTTCCATCCATAATGACCCACCAATCTGAGCACTCAGCAACTGTGGATAACTGCACACAGCACAGGGTAACTCCACCCTTCCTCGGGAAAGCAAGGAAGCAGGAGGGCGAATCACGGAACTTAAATCCGTGGGCATCTCATTGGTCTAGTATGACACCCTCGTTTTAGAGAGGGGGCAAATGAGGCCTGAGAGGCCAAGTGAATTCCCCCAAAGCACTCAGCTGTTTAGGGGGAGAAGTGGGCCTAAAATTCAGGCCTCTTGTCTGCCACCCCCGCAAAAAAACACACCTGTATCCTGGGGTGATGAAGGGGGAATACTAGGAATACGAAATTAAAGTCCTGGGCCTTCCCTTCCTGGCCCACTGGCATCCTGATTTCCTTCTGAGTAGCCCATGCCCACCTTGGATGCAGGCCTTGCTGATACTGTTCCCCTACCTGGAGGGCCTCTTTCCTGCTCTGCCATCCTTCAAGGCCCAGCTCCCACACTTCCTCCAGGAAGCCTTCCCTGACTTGCACTGCCCACCATGATAAGTCACATGTGGCCACTGAATATTTAACCAGTGTCAGTGTGACTGAGATATTGAACTTTCTAAACTTTTCCTCTAAAAGCACATGAGGCTTACACCACAAAGGTGGTGCTTTTCTTCTTGTCTATATAACACTGCAAAACGTTGATAGTAACAAAGACATTGAAAAGCAGACATGTACAGAGTAAAATGAGAATGTGCCCCAAACACACCCCTCTGAGGTAAGGGTGCTGGGGTTCCGGTGAGAAAGGATGGGTTGCCAGGTCAAGCGACCCCCCAACACTGCAGGCCTCGCAGCCTGCTGCACGGCACCCTGGCTGCTCACTGGTCTCTGAGGACGGCCCAGCCTCTGAAGCGGAGGCCTGGACAGGGCCTGCCCACGCTGGGGAAGCAGGCCACGTGAAACCTGCTGGTCACCTTGAACCAGGCCAAGGCCATCTGGAGGCTTCCTGCTTTAGTCCTTGGCCGGAGCTGCCCCTGGACCAGCTCTGAGGGCCGGGATCTCTCTCTCCTTTTGGTGGAAAGCGGCTGGGGAGCGAGCTGCTAACCGGGGTGGAAGTGGGGGATACACAGGTGTGAGACTTGGTCCAAGTCTGAACTGACTTAATCAGTGACCTGGGCCTCATCCCTCTTTGAGGGATGAAGGCAACAATGGAAGTGCTGGCTCTGGGGAATCAGCCAGGCCAGAAGGTGTATGTGCTGGGTCAGGCCATGACTCTGTGCTGAACCAATATCCCCTGCCCCCCAGAGACCCTGAGATACCTGCTTCCAGCCTGCGCCCAGCCCATCTCTCCAGGACCCTGAGGTACACGTCCTTCTAGCCTACCCCCCAGCAAGCCCCCCAGCCACACATACCCACAAACCAGCCATCGTCACACTGCTGCATGACATCTACCCGGTCCCCCTCCCGCAGCTCCAGCTCGTCCTCGTTCTGGGGCCTGTACTGGTATACTGCCCGGTACCTGCAGGAGACAGTGTCATGGCAATCACCAGAGCCCTCACTCCTTCCGGAGACCAGACCCAGATCTAAACCCAAGTGTTGCCACGTCCTATGACTTTTCCAGGGTTTCTCCGTGCTCCCGACAGCTTTGGCCCAGATCCGGGAATGGCAGCTCTGCCTGGTTCTAGCGCATTCTTCCCCAGGCCCGCTCCCTGCCCTCCAAGCCCTAACCACCCAAACCCTGCCTCCTCCGTGCTCCCAGTGCCTTCAAGTCTGTTCTCCCGGTTCCCACACCTCCACGCACTGATCTCAGGGCTGGGAACTGAGGAGACTGAGGCTGGGGGCTGAGGGAGGGGGCCACAGGGCTGACAGGGACAGGCCAGGAGCACTGCAGACAAGTAGCCCCACCTCGCCACCAAGTCACCGGAAGCACAGCAAGAGCTAGTGCTACCTTATCAGGAGTCTCCCAATTCCAGCCTGCCCCAAGCCCACCCCTCCAGGGCCCTGACACACCTGCTTCCAGCCTGCCCCGAGCCCACCCCTCCAGGGCCCTGACACACCAGCTTCCAGCCTGCCCCTAGCCTATTTCTCCAGGGCCCTGACACACCTGCTTCAGCTGGTTAGAGAGTTGTCCCAATATGCCAGGGTTGTGGCTTTGATGCCAGATCAGGGCACATACAAGAATCAATCAATGAATGCACAAATAAGTGGAACAACAAGTTGATGTATCAGGGTCCTGGAGGCTAAGGGGGTCGGTGTGCTTAGCGCTGCCTGATGCAGCCCCCACCCCTGACCAAGCTCCCGCAGTCAGTACTCACGGGGTCCAGTTAATCTGAGTGGTGTTGTGGGGGGAGGTCCCCAGGTCCACAGCACGGCTGGAACCTCCAGGATGGGACAGAGAAGACCCAGGGGTGCCGAGACTCTGGGGGCCACAGGAGGAAAGGTGGCAAAGGCAGCATGAGGGGGAAGAAGTGAAATGGCCCCCCTTCCCCAGGCAGCACTGCCCCCTCTGCTCATCTGATCCTGTCCCCACGGCACAGGGGGTCTGTGACATTTCACATCCCAGGTGGGGCAGGTGGCTGGTTCCTGAACCCTGTGGGCAGCGGGGGAGGAGCCCGCCCAGCTGTGCCTGCTCACACTGGTCTGCTGAATGAAGAGATGACTGCGGGAGCAAACGGGATTGTTTGAGCCCTCAGGATGGGGACCAGTGACTCCCCTTAAGAATAAACTTGTGGTTCAAACCCACCCAGCTACCCTCTGTAGTGGGAATTATCCTCCTCTGCAGGTGAGGAACATTCTACCAGCGAGAAGACCCACATCCAGAGACAGTAAGTGATATGCCCAAGTGCAGGGCACAGCTATAGGGTTAAGCCTCGGACTGATCTGTTGGCAAAGCCACAAACAAGTCCCAGCTTAGAGGGCACAGCCCTCTTAGCATAATTAGGTTTGACCTTATGACGCTCCCTAGATCTTCTCTGGGAAGCTAATGGGCTGTGGGAGGTGCAGCAAGTGCTGCCAAAACAAGTGAAACTCACAAGAACATTGTAACTATGGTGACCACTACCTTGTTTACTTCTGGCTATAAAATAAAGGCTCAGGTTGCCTCTGGATCTCTCTCTGTGGCCTCAGCCAGGCACAGGAAGATCCACCTTGCTTATTCTCTTTGTCTGTCTTTCCTTCATCCTTCACCGCCCTCCCTCAGGCTTGCGAACCCTTGGCGGAGCTGGTTTGGCACACTCAAGGTCACAGCAGGGCCCAGCAGCCCACCCCCAGGCTCCCGGCCCTACCCTGTGCCCGAGGCTGAGAGGGACAAGTCACAAAAATGGAGTCTGAAGGGTCAGGAGGCTTGGGCCGGCTGCCTCTCCTATTCTCCCTGCAGCTCGAGGGCCAGAACCAACTGGAGGGCTCAAGGCCAGGATGGAGCTGCCATGCCAGGTTCTGCCCAGTCAGTCACCCACCAGTCTTCCCGGGAGCCGTCTGGGAAGGGTTCTGAAGTGACCCGTGACAGGAATGGGGGGTACAGGGTAGGGAGCGGGGATCAGCTCTCTACCTGAAACAGGTCATCTTACCTGGGTTTGGGATTTGGGCTCCTGGGCCGGGAAGGAGAAGCCGGTGCGGCGGGGGGAGGTCCGGCCCCCCCAGTCGGTGGGATCAGCTGGGCTTCGTGGTGTTACTGGGGAGCTGGGGTGACGGGCAGCCAGCCGGGCGGCGCTCATGCTGGGAGACGCGGGGAGCTGGGGGCCCTCGTCGCAGAGGCGGAGCCGGGGCTCTCGGCTCACCTGCACGTAGCTGACCGGGAAGATGCCCTGGCGCCCGGTGCCCGAGATGCGCCCCTCATACCAGTTCTCGTTCACCTTTCGGATCAGGCAGATGCGCTCCCCCTGGGGGAGAAAGGAGTCAGGATCTGGAGGGCTTCCTGGCACCTTGCACCCAAGGCTGCCTACACGGACACCCAGGGGATGTGGCTCAGAGGGGCTAGAAGTGGAGAGTCAGGAGCCAAACCCAGGCTGCCTGGCCACGGAGCAGAAGTCACAGAAGAGTCTCGTGGCTAATAACACGGGTCCAGACCGGGCTCTGGCCAGTTTCAAGCTGCATGGCCCCGGGCTGCTGACTTTGCCTCTCTGAGCCTTGGTTTCCTCACTCGTGAAGCGAGGATAGCAACACCGTGACTGTGAGGAGCAAAGGGCATGGTTGGCAGCTTGGCAAGAAGCACTGGCCAGGCACTAACCCCCACTGGTCCTGTCTCTGCCTCCACACGGAGTGATCCTGGCACCACTGCCAACAAACTAACTCCCTGATGACAGCTACTGCCTCCTCAGGCCCTCACGACTGAGGTCAAGTGGGCTGCCCAGGGGAAGAGGTCTCCAGCCCTCTCCGGCCCCCACCTCTCCACCCAGCCACCTCCTCCCCGTTCTGTCCCTGGGGTCAGCTCTTCTGGGGACATTCACTAGGGGCATTCATGGCTTCTGCCCCAAAAATCAGCCAAAGGGAGACCAAACCCTGCTTTCTAGGACAACATTTTTAAAGCTTTCTTGAACACGATCTATAATAAAAATTGTATTGTAGTAACAATCCAACACACACACACACACACACACACACACAGAGGCATAATTCCTAAAAAACATTCTATTTTAATTTTAGAGAGAGGGAGAGAGAAACATCGATGTGAGATTGATCCGTTGCCTCCTGCACATGCCCCGATTGGACTGCTGATCGAACCAGTAACTTAGGTATGTGCCCTGACCGGGAATCGAACTGCAACCTGTTGGTGTATGGTGTGATGTTTCAACCAACTGAGCCACACTGGCCAGGGCATAAATGCCTACAAATGTGATAGGATACCCTTACTACATGCAAGCAAGGCATTCTTTTTGTTGTTGTTAATTTTTTTTAGAGAGAGAGAAAGAGAAACATCGACTTGTTGTTCCACTTATTTATGCATTCATTGGTTGATTCTTGTATGTGCCCTGATCTGGGATCAAACCCACAACCCTGGCATATTGGGACAACTCTCAAACCAAATGAGCTTCCTAGCCAGGCTACATGCAAGGCCTTCCAATATTTCCGTTTTACTCTTTTTAAAATGCCCTGGCTGGGTTTCTCAGTGGTTAGAGTGTCGGCCTGCAGACTGAAGGGTCGTGGGTTCGATTCAGGTCAACGCAAGTACCTTGGTTGCAGGCTCGATCCTTGGCCCCAGTCCGGGTGTGTGCAGGAGGCAACCAATCAATGAGTCTCTCTCACATCAATGTTTCTCTCTTCCCCTCCCTTCCACTTGCTCTGTAAAATCAATGGAAAAAAAAAATCCTCAGGTGAGGATTACAAAAAAAAATGAAAACAGTAAAAATGCTGATTGTGATCCTCAAAACCTCCCTAGAATGAAAAAGAGCACTACCCTAGAAGTTTTGGACTTTTAAAATATGGGCTACATGAAGGGAAATTAATCCAAAGAGACTGAGAAAAAAATTGAAAATACTAGATGAAGGTGGATACACCTCCTTTTAACAATGTACGTATTTCCTCCGTCTTCACCAGCCCCGGCCGACCCCCACTTCCTGCATGGCCCTGCCGCACCTTTCGGAAGGACAGCTCCACCTCCAGATCCCCCTTGAAATTGTACTGGGCCACAGCTTCTCCATACTCCAGCACCTGGTAGGTCGGGGGCTTGTGCGGCTTGGGGATTTCATCTGCAGGCAGCACCTTCAATAAGAGAGAAAGGCTCAGCCTAGACATTAATTGGTCACAGACCTGGGGCTCCTGGGAGGGTGAGGCAACTAAGAGAACGTGGTATGGTAAGATCTGTCCCCAGGCCAGAGAGGGACGGACACCAGTCACAAGCCTAGGGTGGTAAGCACAGCCACGGGGCTGCTGAGGCCCAGAAGACCTCTGGAGGGAGATTTTGCACTGGAGGTGTGTGGAGTGGGCGTTATTGGAGTGGGCAGTGGCCAGTTCAGTGAGCTGACTTGGAGGGCAGAAGAAACAAGTTTCAAGTGCTGGAAGCCAATTCCAGCATGTCAGCAGGGCTGAATCTCTGGAGATGGCTGAGGGAGGGCATTTCCCCAAACCTGAAAAGGATGAATAAATAATTGCTTGCTGCCAGACAGCTAAAGGCATTTCAGTCTACATGTTATTGCCTCCTGCTGGCCAAACACCTGAACAGCAGAAGGCAGTTTCTCCAAAACCTGATAATCTGACAATGGATTGTGTATAGGAAACATGGCCCTTTGATGTACATCTACCTCGCCTTAGGACAATTGGGTTAATAAAAAGCAAGAGGTCCTGAGACAAGGAGAACTTAGTTCCTTTAGCCAAGTCTTCTCTGACTCCCTATAATGCCTTTCAAAATTATGTTTCATCTCTGGACTCTTATTTAATTTATGCACAGCGCCTTCTCCAGGTGCCTGAACCCTTCTTGATGCCGGATCATGACCACCGGCGTTATTAAGGAGCAGGGCACACCTGCTGGGGTGTTCTGAAAGCGAGGCGCTAACATGTGACCATTGCCGGTGTCCCTCTTCCTCCTCCCCCTCTACCCCACCAGTTGCCCAGAACCTCCGTGCTCTTTGCTTCACCCTACTCATAAAAATCAAGAAGCTAATCAACTATTTCTTTTTTTAATACATGTATTTCACATGTTTTTATTGATTTTATATTTTAAGTTTTTGATTGATATTTAGAGAGAGAGAAACATCAACTTGTTGTTCTACTTATTTATGCATCCATTGGTTGTTTCTTGTATGTGCCCTGACGGGAGATAAAACCTGAAACCTTGGAGTATCAGGATGATGCTCTAATCAACTGAGCTACCCACCAGGACTGTTCTCATTGAGTTTAGAGAGAGAAAAGGAAGAGGGAGGGAGGGAAGAAGGGAGGGAGGGAGAGAGAGAGAGAGAGAGAGGAACATTGATTAGTTGTCTCCCGCACACACTGGACCAGGATTGAACCTAACACCTGGGTATGTTCCCTGACCAGGAATCCAACCAGTGGCCTTTCAGTACATGGGACGATGCTCAAATATCTGAGCGCCACTGGCCAGGATGCTAATAAACGATTTCATACTAAGATCTACATGACTGATGACATGGAATACTGTATATACTTTGCAAAATTTCAGGATCAGAGAGTCCTGAGGGTGGGAGAGCCCTACTGATGTCTGCCAAATCAAAAGTCTGAATTAAAACCACCACCCAACCCATAGCTCAGAGGAAGTCACGAAGGAAATGGGAAAATGGTTTGAGTTGAATAAAAAAAAAAATCAAAATCTGTGGGATGCAATTAAAGCAGGGCTCAGAGGAAAATTTATAGCGTTAAATGCACATAGTAGGGGGAACTGTTTCAAATCCATCATCTAAACTACCGCCCTAAAAACTAGGGGAAAAGCACAAACTGGACCTAATGCAAGCAGAAGCAAATACTAAAGCGGCAGAAATCAACGATATGGAAAACAAAAATAGAGAAAAATCAATAAAATCTAAAGTTGGTTCTTTGAAAAGATCACTAAAATGAACAAATCTCTAGCCAGAATTAGAGGACACACAAACTATTAATATCAGGAAAGAAAGAAAGGACATCACTACAGATCTTACTGACATTAAAGTGATAATAAGGATACATTTATGACCAACTTTAAATTAATAAATTAGATAGCTTAAAAGACACAAATACCAAAACTGACAGTCCTTTATCTAGCAAGTCCAGAACTTATATCTTCATTCAGATTCTGCATCTTTTACTTAACAACTTGTCTCTGAACCTTCGCAAGCCCATCGGTAAAATGGGGCTGATCTATCACTTTCCCAGGTTAATGAGAGGAACCAGGGAGGTAATTCAGGTGACTCTGGAACAACAAAGGTTCAAACTGTGTGGGTCCATTTATATGCAGATTTTTTTCCAATTAAATATATTAGAAAATTTTTGGAGATTTTCAACAATTTTTAAAAACTCACAAATAAGCCAGGTAGCCTAGAAATATGCCCCCAAAAAGTTATAAAAAGGTTATGTCATAAATGCATAAAATGTATTTTCTCTTATGATTTAGCTTACACTATTGTAGGAATACAGTATATAATACATATAACATACAAAATAGGTATTAATCAGTAAGGCTTATGTTATCGGTAAGACTTCTTGTCAACAGCAGGCTATTAGTAGTTAAGTTTGGGGGAAGTCAAAAGTTACACGTGGATCTTTGTGTGGGGGTCAGCGCCCCCTGCATTATTCAAGGGTCAACTGTACACATGAAAATGAATGCATGCATACGCGATTTGTAAACATCACACACTTTGTACTCTTGCCAGGTGTAATTAGGACTCATCCCAAGGACGGCTTGAGAGAGATGGGTTCTGCATGGTGAGAGTCTGGGACACTGACAGGGCTGGCAGGCCTGGCTCTCCCCGGCTGACTGGGTTCCAGCTTTAGCCCTCATTTAACAAACATTTCCCTAGTACAGGCAACGTGCTGGGCCAGGCTGTGGGGGCCAAGGCTACAAATGAGGCTGAGACATGGCCCCTGCCCTGGAGCTCACAGTTCACATCCCAGGGAAGCTGTGAGCTGTGGCTGCCAGCTCAGAAGAGAAGCCATGGGTGGATAAGGGCTCTGCACACCCAACTGTCCCCACCCCCCACATAGTTAGCAGGGAAGATGCCCAGCCTGCCATGGTGCTCCCCCTCCAGCCAGTTCTTGTCCACCTCCTTGTGGATGTAGACAATGTCACCCTTCTTCAGGGGCAGCTCCCTGCGGGCCAGAGCAAGGACATGGGCAAGCTGAGGCCCTCCCGATGACCCTGTCCAGCACACCCAGAGTCCCCTCCACCTCCTGGGGATGCCCGCCTCCCCTCTCCCCCAGTGCAGAGCCAGCCCCAAGGAGCAGGGGAGGGGAGAGAAGGGCACTTACTTGGGGGACTGTGCCTGGAAGTCAAACTTGAGCCTGGCAGCCTTCCTCTATGCAGGGGGAGAAGACACAGGGGGTGACCCCTGGACCCACCCCAGCCCCTCCTTGCACCCTGACCCTAATGCTCCCACCCCCTTACCTTCTTTTCTTCCTTCCTGGCAGGGCTGACGCCTCGTTCAGAGGCACTAGGGTCTGTGGAGAACATGAGCTCAGCGTGGGAAGGCCAGGCCTGGGGGTGGGGCTGGGATGGGGTCCCCCCACGGGCACCAGTGGAAGCAGGGGCTAGAGGGTCTTCCTGCCCCACCCCAGGGGCACCGGGTCTGGTGAGTGGTGGGCCTTGGGCGGGGAAAAAGGGCAGATCTGGTCCTTACCTCGGGCTGAGGCAGGGTAGACAAAATCCCTACGACCTAGGAAGGGGCTTCCTCCATCCGCCATTCTGTGGGGGCTCAGGGGCCAGGAGGAGCCCCGGTAAAGTGCATTCGGGTTGCTGAGGCTCCAGGCAGAGGCCGGGCTGCGGGGACACAGTGAGTTTGTGAGTGAGCCACCTGTCTGGCCTCACGCCCTACCAGGCTCACCCCGGCCGCCCAAGGCCCCCCCCCG